AAAGATCTGTTAGAGGGGGCTAAAGAAAATTGCCTGGAAAGCATTCAAGGATGCAGTTGAGAATTTTCTACAGAGCGACAAACTACATTCAGCTGGTTGACAAACTTCTTAAACCTGAAAATTTTCATGCTATACAGGCCAGAGTCATGCATTTGTGAGCCATAGAAATAATGTAAATAAATAAAAAAATCTTAGGTAAATTTAACCTTCCATTATTCTGATCCACCCCTCAGGAAACTTATAGCTTATAGCTATTTCAGTGGCACTGGCTGCATTCCTTCTGACAATCACAGAATTAGTGAATACCAGGATGTATACAATATGTCCAAAGTGTGCTAATCAAGAGATTTCCCTCTGCCAACTCCGGATTCTTCTTCTGGAGATAATGAAGTATCTCTAGAATTGACCTGTAATAACTCTTCTGAATAATACCACCTCCCTTGACACAGGAAGAATTATAAAACCGATTAAGTAAAATTTGAAAATCCCCATGTCCTCACTTTCCCAATTGACTTAGGTTTTTTTTAATTTGTTTTGGATTTTGGTTTTAAGTAATACAATATGGAAGAAGCATTTCATTCTACAGCTTTTTGATAATAGCAATGTAGAAATTCATTGTCTTTGCTGGATTATAAACACGCTGCTAATATAACAGAAACAGCTTTACTTTTAAACACATTAACCACAATGTATTAATTGGACTGCAATTGTAAAAAAAAAAAAAATACTTAAAGTAGAGAAGTTCTCCCTCTCCTGACTGGGAATTTTATTTTGTTTTTGTTTGTTGCATGATTTCAGTGAATTGAGAAGTTCTTCAAGTCAACATTTATCAAATTAAAAAAAGGGAACTAAAAAGTCCTGCTTTGCCTAGTTTTCTCTATAACATAAACAAGAGGATACAACTATGATATTGTTGGTTGTTAATTTTAAATTTAACTTAAAAAAAGATTCAGGTATCTTTTCCTTTAAGCAAAAACACTAAAACCTGTAGCCTAAAGGAAAGGCTTACTCCACTCAAAATGTATTGCGGACAAGTCCATTGTAATGACAAGGAGTTGCAAAATGGCATTATTGTTGGTTGTAAAGATGCTATGAGCAGGAATGGTCCATAACATAGATTACTTATTTATTTTTTTCAGTGGAGGTAGTAGTAAATAAACAAAATAAAAACATAATATAAGGTCCAATGAAAGAGGCTGTAAAAACAAATGGAGATTGGAGAAAATTATCTAATATAATTCAAATTACCCATATGATCCTATAAAGTAGTTGCAGGATAGTTTTCTAAGAGCACCTCAATTGTCAACAGACTGGTGATCTCTGCACCATTGCAACTAAATCTGTAGTTGTAATAGAATAGCATCACACTGAAACAATGATTATTATCTTTTTGCTGTTTATCTCTTTCTCTGCACTGAATTTAGCTCCTTACTAGCTAACTAGCTTACTAGCTAGACATCTCTCTGCACTGTCTCTTTATTGAGCAACAGTATCAAGAGTTTCTTCAGGAAATATGTAATTCAGGAAATATGTAATTCAGCCAACCGCCCCCCCCCCCAAAAAAAAACAAAAAAATGAGCAAATATTATAGACATATAATGCAAATAAGTGGACAAATAATAGGAGACATACGGTTATACAGTATCAACCCCCATCTCAAAATATGCACCTCTGACATCATGTTCATTTGCTTCCCCACCAAATATAGCTTAGCATTTCATTAATGGGCAATAAAGTCTACTAGGGTTGGGTTGCTGCATTCTGGGATCCTAAAATGAGAGAGTTTGTCAAACAGCTAGCAGAACATCTACTGTATATTCATTATGGTGTGCTAAAGTTGCCTAGATATCTTTTGTCTTCAGATTCCCTTACCCTTCTAATTAATTTTTGCATACCATCTCCAATGTTTTTGAACTCTCCAGCCCACAACTAAACAGAGAAACCCCTACCTTGAATTTTCTGATGGCTACCAAGTGCTGATTTGCCCTCTGAGCAAGAATTTTCAGTTGTAATGATCTGGATCACTCAGTTAGTGTGAAGGCATGTGCCCCTTTCTGATCATAAGGGAAGATGCTAGGGCAGAACTATGTGCTAATGATTCAGAAAACCAGCACAGAAAAAACTAGCGCGAAAGGGAGGTGAGATGCTGAGGGTAGGGAAGAATGTAAGATGAAAGTAAAGAGCATGAAATGGGTTAGCTAAGAGTGAGAAGGAACTAATGGAAGCTTTAGAAAAAAGGTGAGATGAAAATTAGGGATTTAAGAAACAGTAGGTAGGCCACACACGGCATAAAGAAGCAGCAACAATCAGAAAATGAAGGAATTATGTAATCCTATCCAAGAGGCAGAAGTCCAATCTGCCTTCCCCAAACACTTCCCCCTGTCATTCTTTAATTCCACTAAATATAGAGAAAAGCCTCCTTCCTCCCAAAATAGAAAAAAAGGGAGGCAGAAACTTAAAAACAAGTTACACTGAGATAAAGTAGCTCAACCGAATGTTTAAATATATCATTGAACAATGAATTGTAGAATCAGGTCATCTATTTGCACATCTGATCTGAATGGGGTAAAAAGCATTTGCAGACTGGTTTTTCTCCACCATTTCCTCCTCTTCTTTTTAATATATTGAGATAGTTGTCTGGCATTATTATTTTGAAAGATGTAATCTTGAACTCTGAATAAATGCACAGCTCTGTTCTTGTTTTTTTTGTTTTGTCAGATCCTCACTTCTGCGCAGGTGCTTGGGTTCACGGACACTTACTAGACTTACTGAAAAAAGAGGGACCTGAAAAGGCCCTTGTGATTTCCCACTTTTATAATTGCAAGTGGCATATCTGTAATGTGAACCACACGGAGTTACATCAGAAACCAATGATGCTGCTCTGGATTCATGAATGTGTAATCACAAATAACGTAATATATGAAAAATTACTAGCATGCATGACTGAGGAAAAATGGAATTCCTAACTCTTCTAGAGAGAATCATAGGCTAGTGGAGAAAGCAGGTGAGGCCTTTGGGCAGCTGAAGAAAACAGGTTTAGGAGATAAGGACGTGGCATTGAATTACAATTTAGATTCAAAGATTCCTTCTTAAATCTTTCAAGATTGTATCATGGAGAAGCCCATTAGGGTTGGATTTGCCTATCATATTATTGATGGAAATGCCTACTAATGTGAAGTCAGCATTTCTGCAGATTTCTCCAAATACATGACTAGAACCTGAAGATCTTCTGGGAACAGCAATGGCACAGAATTCCTGGAACTAATGATTTAGGCTTTTTAGCCATTAGTTTAAACCAGGGCCAAGCAACCCTATTGTCATGGTTCCGACAGACAGAGTCGAATAAAGCAGAACTCCGAGGCTTGCAAATTCCTCAAAGAACATGTTTATTAGTTACAAGGTATCAGCACGTCAAAAGTGAAACCAAGTCTGGAGACACACATAAACAATTCCCCAATACAAAGTTAAAAATCCCACCCCTAAAACTATGCAAGCAACTACATTCCCCAATACATCTTCTTGGCGGGCTTTTTACAAAACACCCAGCCTACAGTCTCAGGAGCAGCCAATGACCTTGGTTCCCATGGGCCAAAAGATTATTTTGACTAGAAAATTACCTGGCAATCCCCCACCCTCCATTCTATGTGGCAACCGAAAATAAACAGGAAAAATGGCTGCAGCCATGCTCATTTGTAGAGTTAGCACCTATCCTTTTTGGATATTTAGGATTAAAATTCTCATCTGATAAACCAGCATGGCCAAAAGCCTGGGGGCAATGGGAACTCTAATCTCAGGCACTGCTTGTTTCTGCTTTAAATAATGGATAGGCAATTCATGGAGCTCCCTGAAGTCCAGACTTATGTATGGGTCCTAAAAGTATGCATCATTTATATCTAAACATTATTGATACACAGTTTCCTCCCAGATTTAAAGCTGTCTAGAAACATTTTTCCTACTTTATTAGAAACCAGATATTGACTAATTATGATAAACTTCATAATTAGTTTGGAACAGGTGTCTAATTAAATACCTTTTTATCTTCAAAATGGCAAACGAGATTCTCTTTCTTTGTGTTGAATCATATAGCTCATTTGAAAAAAAGAGTCAGTTTTAAGGAGAAGAAAAAAAAGATTGGTGATGGCCACAGAATGCATGAAAATCTGTTGGTCTAGCAACCAAACTTTTCACATCATTATTTAGATCTCTTGGGAGAATTTAGTTCCAGCTGAACTATTTGTTTATATTTGTATTTATTCCATAGTAATTGATATTGAAGATCACACACATTTTTGCCTTGATGATGCTTACATTTTTATGAATGGCCTCTAGACCCTTGCCTTTTGAAAAAAAACAACACCTTTAAGACAGCTATGACCTGGATAACTGAGAATCTCCATAGACATTTCTGGATAAGTTCATTTGTAATATGGGTTTTTTTCCCAAAGGAATGGAAGTGGCAGAGATGCCGCTTTGCCTGTTTTTATGGTGGTAACAGCAGTTCTATTTCAATAATGCAGTTTCTTCAGATGAAAAAAACTTTAAGACTGGTCCATAAATGACCTGCTAAATCTCAGGCGGCATTTTCCTGTCACCTGGCAGCAATGAAAGTTTCAGGCTGGGTATTGATCCAGGTTCCCATTCTCATTTGGTAAGGCACACTTGGAATACTGCACTGGTCACCACGATGTAAAAAAGATGTTGAGACTCTAGAAAGAGTACAGAGAAGAGAACAAAGATGATCAGGGGACTGGAGGCTAAAACATATAAGGAACGGTTGCTGGATTGGGTATGTCTAGTTTAATGAACAGAAGTACAAGGGAGGACATGATAGCAGTGTTCCAATATCTCAGGGGCTGCCACAAAGAAGAGGGAGTCAAGCTATTCTCCAAAGCACCTGAAGGCAGGACAAGAAGCAACAGATGGAAACTAATCAAGAAGAGAAGGAACCTAGAACTAAGGAGAAATTTCCTGACAGTTATAACAATTAATCAGTGAAACAATCTGCCTTCAGAAGTTGTGAATGCTTCAACACTGGAAGTTTTTAAGACGAGACTGGACATCCGTTTGTCTGAAATAGTATAGTATAGGGTTTCAGTGGGCGAGGGCTGATATTTCTTTCTGGTGAACGTCAGGGGGTAATAGGGTTTCTGAGAGTAGTATAGAAAAAAGCATGAATAAACCCAAATAAAGTGACAAAGTCATCAAAGAGCCATTTCCTGTTTGCAGCAGAGTGGTTTGATATTTCTGCCTTTTACATGCTTCTGAGAGGAAAAGATGAGAATAAAATCAGTGAGATACCTGCATGATCTAAAGTGTGGAGTTAAACTGATACCGCTGCAACTTTCTGTTCTGTTCTGTATGAGGTCAAGATGTCCATTATACCTTTTACCAACATAATCGCCTGGATTGTTTTTACTGCGTTTCATATTATTCAGGACACCAGTTCAGCAGGTAATAATCTCTCTCTCTCTCTCTCTTTCTGTCTGTTTTTCTCTCACCCCCTTGCTCCATCTTTTAGATTTTTGTATGGAAAATTTGCCAAGCAATTGTTAAATGAAGCTTGGAGCCACTGCAGTGCTATTTGAGTATAAAAATTAACAATGATATTAAAGAAAACATTGACGTTAACCAGCTTGCTTATCACAAAATAATATTCATAATGGTAAATCAGCCTTCTCTAGTCTGTTGGATGCACCAACATGGCTCTCATGTAATAAGTACTCTGGAAAACTACCAGACTGGAGAAGGCTATAAGAAGCAAGAGTGACTGTTTTTACAGATGATGCTGACCCAACCAGATCCACTGGAACATAGCCATGTTGTTAATTTTTCTGATTGCAAAACTGAACTGACTTTTCACTGATCTTTGGATATCTCCTTTACAAAGAAGAAAGTTAGGCAGAAGGAAAATCTCATGAAGAATGTAAGTATTTTTCTTTATGGGTCAAATCAAGGCTTATCTACTTGGCTAGTCTACTTTCAACAATTGATTGGATGCAAACAACATTCTGCAAGAGAAATGAATGTCCTCTGTGGTATGTCCCCACCACCAGCTGTTCAGTGTAGTTCAGGGAAAGGGCAGTTAGTTACCTCCACTACACCATCTATTAAATCTAGGAGTTGTCCTCCACCAAGCTGGCAGAAAACAAGCTGCCTTGCTGAAGAAAACAAGCAAGCTTTTTATGGTACTGTAATCTTTCCCTTAACTGGGCAAATGGCAACTCAGAAGAACGATTTCAAGTAGGAAAATGACTTGGTTTCTAAAATTACCTTCCACATCTCTATTCAGTAGTCAGTTGTAATAATAATCAATAATTAATAATCAGCAGTTCCATTGGGACCTTATCAGCACTAACAAGCCATGACCTTCCTTGGGACATCAGTTCCCTATGAGCAATCCACTGCACCGTCCCTCTTGTCTATAGGACCTGATTGATAGATTGACTCTCCATTATTTGCTTGCTTTTAAACTAAGAATGACTCTTCGAGAATTTTTTTACTGGACAATAAATGATTGTTGTCACAGTAAAGTTGGAGACATCAACTTTTGAAACTCCTTCTCTGCCATTTTCACTTACTTAAATATGTGACAGTTCAGGAACAGCACAGGTTCAGAGTCAGACGAAGTTTTCATTTTCTGGATAGCAGTTAAAAATAGTTTAGGCTTTAGCTGGGATGGGGAAATTTGTTATCTGTTCCGTTTCTCTCAGTTTCCCATAAATGCTTAAGTTCAGTTTATTACATTTTGTATTACTGTAAGAATATTTTTTTTACATAGTCCTGGTTTCTAGCCTGATGGCTTAGCCATTATATCACATTGGCTCTCTTAATAGATACAGTATGTTTTTCTCTAATATACATGATTATGATTGGTAAATGGCACCGCAGTATTTGGGGACATGTACTGAACATTTGGAAGGATCATGTGCTTTGGGTTGTATAAGCTTCTGAAATTGTGAAATTAGGTAAACATATATTTAAAGGCATTTGGCTGCTAACCAGTAACAGGTTCTGAAATTCCATGCTCCTATGAAAAGATAGGTGTTGGTTGTCTACTGTACACTAGGTACAAAAAAAAGTATGGCATTGTGGCTCCAAACCCCACAGTGGTGTGTCACTTAGTCACCATAAGCCAATCTAGGTTGAGAGGTTTTCTTTATCTCCATTTCCTTAAAAGTCTAATGGCTGGTGCTCCCATTAAGAACTTACCCAGAGGAGAAGTCAACCAGGGATGGCCCACTGTATCAGAGGTCCTCTTTTCTGTCCTGTAGGAGAGAGCCTTCTCCTCTGTTGCTCTCTGATAATGAAACTCATTTCCCTTAGAGATGTGTTTGAGCCTATTCAAGAAATTGATAAATCACATATATTTTGCTAGGCTGTTAATGGTTGGGTTAATGGCTTTTTTTTTTTGCTAATGGCTTTTAATGTTATTTTTTAACATAATGTACATTGTATGGTTTTAGTCATTTGTAATAAAGTTTTAACGTGCAAAAATGTATATGAAATAAATAATAGTTTTAAAAATCCAAATTAAATGCATTTCTACTATACCCTGTTCCATGTATAATACACCAACATAGTTGTCTGTCTTCAATAATATTATTTTAATCTATATTGACATAACTTTTTCATCTACCTCTAGGCTGCTTCCCTTCCATTTACCTCTTATCACTACTCTATTGTGGAAAGTAGAATATAGTAAAAAAAATGGGAAAAGAGAAACAAAGCCTTCTTCCCACATTATTTATGGAAATATTACCAATGTAAACACAATTAAGCACAAAAAGAGTTGTTTTTTTTTATTCTTTAGTAAGATATTTGGGAAGCAAAGAAAAAATGCACTTCAAGTGAGAGACATGACTTTAGACAATTAGGTTTTCCTCTGGTCCAGATCTCAAACTATGAACTAGAGGCTAAGGTGAATAACCAGCAAGTCATGTTCAGAAAGCACTGCAATTAAGCTGTATCAGATAGAACAAGGAATGATAAGAAATGGAAACCAATCTAAAATTCTATGCCTCCATTCAACAGAAGAAGTCAGGCTCTATTTAATTACAGAAGAACTTGGTGAAAGGCATACAGTACTAGGAACTGCTTAATCTATTCCCAGTTCATAGATTATCTGCCAGTATCAGTGAATCCCATCCTTGACTCTGGGCCCACAACAGCCCCTAACCCCTAGATATAAAGTGTTGCAGTGGTGACGCCTGCAAAGAGACAACTCCTTGCATTAAGTAAACAAGATTCTTGGCTCAATGTACAGATGTCTGAGAGATGGGACTCGTGGAGAAAATTGATGGGGAACAAGACCAGAATCACTGCCCCATTCCTCTTTATCCAGATATATCTTGTGCAGTAGAGGTTCTTTTTTTAAAAAATATTTTTTTATTTATTCTTTTTTCACTATACAACAACAAAAAAATGAAAAAATACATTTTTTCCTTTAACAGAACTGTGTTATACATCTCCTATATATTATTTACAGTTTATTTACATCAGTAATCATATCTTTCTCTTTCTCTGTTCTAGCCAATTATAACATTTGTTCCATATTTCATAAAATTCTGTTGCCTCCTTGTCTTTTAATTCTATGAGGTTCTTGCGGAGGTTAGGGAAATTTAAGCAAGAAGGCTCTGCTTAAAGAATGGGGCAGTGATTCTGGTCTTGTTCCCCATCAATTTTCTCCACGAGTCTCATCTCTCAGACATCTGTACATTGAACCAAGAATCTTGTTTACTTAATGCAAGGAGTTGTCTCTTTACAGGCATCACCACTGCAACACTTTATATCTAGAGGTTAGGGGCTGTTGTTAGTTTGGAGTGTGCCTGTCCAACCTTTTGGTTTGCCTGGGCCGTACTGAGTCAAAAGGAACTGTCTTTGGCCACATAGAAAATATATAATATAGTTAATGTATATAAATAATATACTTCTTTTTAAAAATATTTTTATTATAACTTATGGGGCCACATTACTAGCTGTCCAGAGCGCCGTATGGCCGGGGGGCTATGGCTATGCCTGGTTTAGATAATAGTATGAGTTGCATTATTTCCCTCTGAAGTGCTTAAATTATGAAAAAGCCTTTAATAGATGATGAATAAAAAGCTAGATGCCAGTGACTGCTCAGTTAGCTGAAGCTGCAGAGCTAATATTGAAAAAAGTATTATATTTTCACAAACAATGAATGAACTTTGATAACTTAATTAAAGAAAGATCAAAATGGCACTTTTAAAAAAGAATGAACTGCTATCTAAAACAAATAAAAACGAGCATATTTATGAGCCTGATTTTGTTTTGAACATAATTTCATATATGAATAAGATGATTGCTGCAGATTTGCTTACACAAGAAAGTAATGAAGCAATGTTTAATTAATGCTTATTCATGAAATGAGCTTATTTTAATGTGCAATCAGCGCACAAAAATTGAATTTGTATTATGTGCATCATTAAATGAAACTTTCACATCTTATAATATAATATAATATTTTGTTTTCTGGTCATATAATTATTGTCTATGAATTGGGCAGCCACCTAATCAAATAGATAGATAGACAGATAGACAGACAGACAGACAGACAGACAGACAGACAGACAGACAGACAGATAGATAGATAGATAGATAGATAGATAGATAGATAGATGATAGATAGATGACCCCCAAGTCTTTGTGCAATTACTAGAGCTTTCCCACCTCAAAGTTGTCACCCAATTCCCTCAATGCAGGAATGTGCCACTGAACTGCAGGGAGAAACTGCAGAAAAGAAGTAACTTTTCCTTGTTTCAAGGTTCTCTTATTTGGACTTAGCAGCAGTGATTTTTATTACATGCCATTCAGAGTCCAACCAACCAACTAACCAACTAACCAAATAAATAAATGGTGTTCTGCCTCCAATGCCTATTTATCTGCATTTTACTACAAACTTTACCTAAAAGAGTTTCAAGTCATCAAGAACTAAGGTTCTTGGTTTCTGATTTTTTAATTTCTATGGCTGCAGCTGCTCCCTTGAAGTCTTGATTGTGTGTGTAACTCTAATCTTTTCTTCTCTAAGGGCTGGCTTCCCTATTCCTCACTTTCTATGCCAAGACAGAGGACAAACAAGCATTCAAGCTCCTTGGGATGATGTTGCCTCTCACCCCATTCTGTTGCTTCTTTTGCTATGACAATGGTATATACTGCAGCACCTGCATATTGTATATGAACAGGCCTTCTCATACTGCTCAGACAACTCCACTTTTTAAGGCCTCTCCAAATGGAAATAAAATATGACAGCTATAAAAACTAGAGAAAGCTATAACTTGCCTTTTGCTTTTAGTAAAAATGCTACTGCCCCAAATTGTGACTTGTACTGTTTCAGTTCCTAGTCATAGAGCTTCCCTGTCCCCTTTTGGTTCTGTAGATGGGGAGAAACTTTTTTCCCCTCAGTTCTTTCAAGACAGTGATGGGCCCCAACCAATTTAGCTAAATATACAAAAGAATTTCTAAACTATGATCCCAGGCTGTGTGGGGCTGTTTGCAGGGTCTGCTGCATCTAACCATTCTTCTATAGGACAATTTAACAATGGGATTTAGCTGAGTTTTGTTTAGGAAGGTTCTATTATTGGTGGCAAATTAAACTAAAAATTAAAACCCTACTTCTGGGCAATTTATCTCTGAATACCATGGTAGTTGAGAGGCGAAGGAGAGAATGAAAACAAGCTACTAAAGCATTAATGCCCTTATTGGGTTTTCCAAGAGATACCTTGGAAAAGTACTACAGCACTTTTCTCTACCAATTTTGGTGACAAGGCTTTTGAGATGCTGTAGATGTTTATTGAGGGTGAATAGAAAGTCGATCCTTATATGCATGACGAGGAGGCTTTTTCATTTGAGCAACTTTGCATTGGGTACATGCTGGATTTTAGAAGCACAAGCAGTATTGAAAACCTTGGCAATACTGAAATTTCAGAAACTGGCAAGTATTTCAAGAGTAAGAACATACAAACCTCAGTATTGAGCAGTTGTGTTCTTGGTGTTTTTTGAGCTGGGCTGTCTTTTTGCAGATACTTCATTACCTAGCCTGGCAAGTGCATCCAGATGTCAGGAAAAGCAAACTCTCTGTCTTCCCCTTCGAGAGGTATTGTCAGCCCTATAGAGTAGACCAGACTCAGAAACCAATGCTATGGGGATCTAGTACTACTTTTATTGTAGTACCATAATCTTGCATGTCTGAATGTCCTTCTCTCCTTCCTCACTTTCATGTGAATTAGAGGGGGTCCTATCTGAGATATTTATTCAATTATTTTATTGGAATGGGCTCAGGTTGGACTTGTCTGATGATTGCTTTGGTACAGGGTCTTCCTCTTATCCCCTCTGCCCTATACAGGTATGAAACAGTTCGGAGAAATCTAGCTCCTTACATAGTTCTGTCTCCTGGGATGAGATAGGGATGAGGGCAGCTTGCTGATGGACTTATTCATGTGAACTTGTGCTTCAGAGCTACTCTGATAACATATATGGCTGTTGTCCATTGTCTGTCATGGATTGTACATTTTCATAATAGAAGTAAAACACACCTGAAATGCAACCAAGTAGAATTTCAGACAAACTTTTCCACTTGTCCTGCCTCACCTTCTATTTTGCATTTGGGGTGGCTCTCATTTGAAAAACCAAAAGCTAATAGTATTAACTAAGGCTGAATTTCTATCATGTTTACGAGCAACTTGTTTTGTGAAATATAGCAGCGTATCTCTTTGACAAGATTTGTTTTTATTTCTTTATTTCTTTTTATTTTATTTTTTTAATGCTGTCCATCTCCCCTATAAGGTGACTCTGGATGACATTACAGTGAAAAGGAGTCTGTTTTCCCAAATTATTAAGGTGTTCATCTGCTCCCTGTGCCAGCCTACTTATTAAATTGTTTATCTCCTTCAACAGCTGAAAGCATTTCAAAGCAACAGAGATTCCTACACAAAACAGTGCACCAAAATGCCCAGCTGGCCTGTGACTTTCCAGCTCACAGAGAAATCATTACAAAGTTAAATGCCTACCTGCTGAAAGGAGTAGAAAAAGAGGAACTTTTTGAAGCAAATTGGAACAATTCCACAGTTTTAGTCAAGAAACAGAGTTTCTTGACTAAAGTAAGCCTGGACATAAATATTACAAAAGAAGAAAAACATGCTATGTTTCACCTGAGCAACTTGCAGGTCAACCACACAGACAGTTACATGTGCAAGATTGAGGTGATTGACCCACCACCATATGAAACCGAAAGCAGGAGCAATTTAATTTACGTGCAAGGTAAAATCTTGACGTTCATTTCTAATGGATCAGGGAGGTCAGAGAATCTTTATTGACTATAAGGCTGCCCACGCTTAAATTGTTTAAATTGTGTGCTTAGATCAATGCCCCTTCAACGAACCATTTTCTGCCATAAGCACCCCACTACAACATTATTTGCCAGCAATGGTGGCAAGAAGCAGGTCCTACACAGAAGTTCAATAACTTGTTTCCTTCAAAATCTAAGTGACACTTTTGAGTAAACTGTTTGAAAGCAGTTTAATAATAAACCAGGTAGTTTGAGCTTCAGTTAGTTGTGCATCCAATTAATTTATTGTCTAGCATTCATGGGGGATAGCATACTTCAATTAATATAAAGTATATTTTGTTCTGTGGTATCTCAACTCCTTTGTGTTCCTGTCAATCCTCAGAACTTCCTCAGCACCAAGAAAAGCTTGTTTACGTGAACATGCCAATGGCTATTCCACTTGGATTTTTTGTTTTCTACAGTATAATAACCACAGCAGCCATTTACTTCTGTTGGGTAAGAAATCATTCTTTTATTTTCCCTTAGTACTAATCAGATGTTGTCCGTGATAAAAAATATAACCAGAAAGAACTTTTCCACATGCTATGGAGCAATGCATCTGCCAACATTTTGGATTTCCCTGGAACTACATTTATGGAGACTATCATGATGGGGTTGAACACTTGAAGTAGTACTATTACACCAAGTCCCCTCAACATATAGTTAGATAAGCAAGATAATAATAAAGAACATACTCTGCCTTTTATATGGTCATATTTCTCTTCCCTTATTTGGGAACTGGCTCTAACAGAAGCCGGGACAATCAGCACTGTGTACCAAATATATCTGCATTTGTGGGCATCACATTGCTGGAATTGAACAAGGATGCCCATGAAGTGTCCTTGGTAAAGCAAACTGCAGATTCCTGGGAGACTGATTGAATTGAGCTTGACTTTTGAGCAATGCATTGGGAGCCATCTCCAAAAATAAGCTGGGACCAGGAACAAGAAAGAGATACTTACCTGGCAAGGGGGATACATAACTGGTGACAGTTGCATGATTCTGGAATCTAAGACATATGAATTGCCAATGCTATAATGAAGCAGATGTGTGTGTGTGTGTGTGTGTGTGTGTGTGTGTGTGTAACTGTCCTGCCTTTATTATTTTTACAAATAACTCAAAGTGGTGAACATATCCAACACCTTCCTCTTCCTATGTCACCCCCTCAGCCCCATGAAAAATTACAGTGTTTTCATCTTTTGGAGAGTTCAGGGATGTGTCACTTAATTTGTTAACAAGATACAGAGGGTACATTGGGGGGATTGTACCCTTTGCTGGAACCAAAAATATATTATTGATATGTTAAAGCATACTTTTCTAAAATTCATGTGTGCCCATCTTTAAAGACACATGCAGTCTCTGCTGACTTCTGTTGTATATATTGTAAAGAAGCCAGACTGGAAAAACTATGAGTTAATTATTTGTCTGCTGAATAACCAGTAACATAAATGTTGCTTTTTATTCAACCTTGCTCCCAGAAGGAGCAACACAAGGTTCTCCTTCATAAAAGCATGAAGAAGAGATGCACATTAGCTTTCCATTTATTTGATATGACATGAAGGAGAAACCTCACTTGTCATACTTGTGGGAAGATGCATCAAGTGGGATTGATTCCTTTGATCCTTACTGACATTCACTGAAATTTTCATTCTTTGAATGGCAATTCCCCCCCCCTTTGTCCTTACTGTTGTTTTTTTCATGCAGCTGAAATGCAAGAAGAACAGGGTACTTCAGAACGACTATTTCAACATGACGCCCTGGCAATCAAATGGACCCAGGAAAAGGCCCCCTCAGCATGGCATTCCAACACGGAATTACACTGCATACCGTTATTGGGAACCCTGATGAATAATGCCTTCTCTACGATGGAAATAAGAACAGCCTAGCCATTGCAAAATGAGACTGTTTTCAAAGAGTTATATCTTGATGTTCATAGATCTATGAAGGACAAAAACTCTCTGTAAGTTATGTTTCAAGTTAGATAAGCAAGAGGTTATTAGCAACAGTAGACTGGAAACAGAGGAATGTGAGATCACCCCCAGTTTTAAGCAAATGATGGTTCCAACTGCATTTGTGATCTTTCTACTTTGGCCTTAACAGAAGGTTTAGAAGGATTATATCCAAACTCTGGCAAAGAGTGGAGGTAAAATTCTGTCATGTTTCACATCACAGAGAAGATGCTGAATTTAGGGTTTAAACATAAGCTTAAGAAATAAGAAGCATCCAGCTTGGTGGGACTGGGGCAGTAAAGAACTTTTTTTTTCCTGTTGTAAAACAAATGGATTAGCTGGAAAGGTTTGCAATACACCAGAACAGCCCCAATGAACAGATAACTCTTTCTGTTAAAACAATTAACCTGAAAATCATGTCTGGAAGACTTGAAGGAATAGTAGAAAATACTGCCAATATTTGCAGTGATATACAGTTTTCCACTGATGCATAAACAAGATATTGATGAAGAATTGGACAAAGTAATGAAGGGAAAGTCCAAGTAATATATCACTTATCCAAATAATTCTAGTGTCCACTGTAAGAAGGGAGTATTTTTCTTTCTTGATATCAGGTATCAGTTCAATACTAAAATACTGGTATGCACATGGTTCTATGATTATAGCCAAGATTAAAAGCGTTCTTGCTTTGTTGGATTCTACAGTATTTCCTGTGTTAATTAAATGGCACATAGGTTCAAACACATCCTCAATGCCTGGATAGCTTTGTGTCAGTCTCAGCCTAATCTATTTTACAGAGATGTTGTGGTAGGAAAGGTGTGCAAAACATGTGTTTTTGCATCCCTCTGAGCAGATGGGGTCATCATCAGCAACCATAGTTTGGTCATTGAAGCAGAAATGCCACACTGTTAAACATTTAATGTATTACAGACATATGGGTGTCTAAGTCCCGCTTTCTGTTATAAACCAATAATAAAATACATAACATGACTTAAGTCCTAACACCTCGCTGTCATACTAAGCTTATTTTAATTCTTCTGTATAAATTATAACAATATTTATTACTAAATTATACAAATTACTTAGTAGATCAGAAATAAACCTCTGAGGAGTTGACTAATTGTTATCTTAGAGAATTGGCTGATGCACAAAGTTTGGCCATTCTTTAAGCAACATCAGTCAAAAGATCACTTGGGAGGTATATAATGCATTCTCCATCCCAGCTTAACACATTCATAATGGACCTGATATAAATAGATGGTGTTTTTTTCTATGAAAGGAACAGTGCTTTGCTGACTCAGTCTCTCCCAGCATAATGTCAAAAATTCCACTCATATGGGATTTTCAAAAGTGCTTTTGGTCAAAGTAGCTTTTGGAATAGCATTAAATTTGGCCAGAATAAACTTTTTTTTTGTTATTGTGGAACGATGATATATGATAAACTGATACGAAATTGCTTTTAATATTCAGTACAGTAGAGGGAATATTTGGGGGTGGTGACATATGTGCCTGTTTATAGATCAAAATCTTGAAGTTGTTCTTTAATCACTTCCTTGTACTTCTTTAGATCTAAAATGGTCACAATGTCTGATGAAAACCACAATGATAGTGTTTTTCCCCCCAATAGTGCTCTTTTCAAGTTATCTTTCAAGCAATCTTCCAGAACTAGTGGAATTAGCCCAAGTACAGAAAAAGAAACAGGCTTAGCCAAAGATTAAAATAGCATAACCTTACTCTGGCCTCTATTGTTATTAATAATATTTCTAACTCCAAAGTGGCATTAGGCATACATCTGGGAATGGCCTGAATTGATTGCAGATGTTTAAACTGAACAATCTCTAATGAACCATAGTTTTTTTTTTAACAATGTAGGCTGAAGTACCATATTTTAGCAATTCTAAAATACCATAGGAGTAAATTAACCATCTTCCCCACCACATTTTTGGAGAGCATTCTTCAGTAGGTTTTTGACAAATAGTTAAGCCTTTTTTTCACATTCTGACCCTCTTCCCTTTTCTCCATCTTTGGGAATTTAGGGGACGGTTCTGGAACAAATAGGTTTCTTAAGTCATGCAAACTTAAAACTTCCTTTTCACTTCTTCAGATCCTTATCTCAATCCCACTATAGGTCCTTGTCCTGCTTTCTCTTAAGACAGGAGCTATTTTTGAGCTAACAAATTCTGCTTCTCCTCTGTATTATGTAACAATGTGAATGCTAATATCAAAGAAAGTCCACACCCGGCTCAGAGCTGTGCCGATGCTGCTGATCTAGAGGCTGATCCTTGCCAGGCTCGGTGCCTGGTACGGTGGCAGCAGTGGCAGACGATATGAAAATGTGAAGGCCATGGCCACTGCCACCTCCCTGCTGCCCGACTTGACTGCACATTTTACTATGTGCACTACAAGGCAATTTCTTTTGCAAAAAAAAAAAAAAAAAAAAGTGAGAGAATGCAATATTTTTCAGTACACTTTGGGGGAAAGCAGCAGCTTTTAATGGCAATTGTGTTCCCGCTATCTTTCATTTTTAGATGCTATATGCATTTCCCAATTTTTCACTTTACATGATCTTTTTTCATACTTATCATTTGAACAACATATTTTCTCAAATACTTGCTTCATTTACATTCTCATATGCTTCTCATGTATATCGGCCTGAGTGTTTATAATGTAAAAGTTCTTTCTCAGAACAGCTGTTTCCCCAATGAACCTGCTGTCTCTTGAGGTCACTCTTGGCTGCCTCTTTGATGTCTTAACAGCTCTCGAAAGAATTTCTTCAGACAAGACCTTTTGGTGGCTGCACCTTGATTTTGGAACTCACATCTAAAAACAGTCTATCCCCGTTCCTCGTTACAAGCCCTCTAGAAGTGGATCAAGATGCTGCTTTAAAAAAAACAAAACGCTTTCAATGAATAATCATGTGGCCATATTTATGGGGCATTGATTTACAGTAATATTTTAAATGTTCTATTGGTATAGTGGTGTTTCTTTGCTGCTTTTTTGCATTATATTTCTGGGTTGGCACTAATGTGAATGATCTACAGCTCTGGAGGACAAGTAGGTTATAAATATCTTTAATAAAATAAATGGCACATTCATTACGATCCCCTCTTTTGCTCTATAAGGAGCAAGATATCAGAGCTCTTTCAGCACTGCTTTCATTCCAGGTTTTCTCAAGATGCTTCATAGGAGTCACACGGAGGAACCGTGTGGTTTCATTCAGAGATGAAATTCTTCATTCAGAGCCAAATTCTTTTTTTGACTTTAAACACTTACTCAGTCATGCTTTTTATCAAACATTTCTGATTTGGCAGAGGCAACTGAGTTTGAAAGGTAAAGAAAGGGCTTGAGGAGTTAGTGTTCCCATGTTGACACACTTCTGTTTCTAATCCATGCTGTCTCTGATTAAATAGGACTTTGGAACTACAAGTACTGGTCAAACCTGTTCACGTTGGACATTAATGGTATGAATGTAGATATCATGGGCAGCAATTCCTCTTCCGAGCTGCCTGCAGTTCTGTTATGTGCTTTTGGTAATATCAGTAAAGTAGAGAAAGGTTATTGCATTTGCTCAGCTAAGTGGCAGCCTCTATTCAGACTTGGATGATCTTTAAAACTGGACTGGAAAGTCAAAAAATTTCCTGGAACAAGACAATAATATATTTCTTCCATATTATTGCCAAGAAAACTATATTTACCATGAGCTGAACTAGCCCTGAAGGAAAGTTTTACTGCAGTGTAATAGTGTAGTGTTTCTTCACTAAAAAAAAAAGTTTTTCTTTTCTTTTTGATAAAAAACCAATTATTTGTTGAACGTTAAAACAAGCCCTCTATTTTATACACTTCAAAATGTTGCTATCATTACATATGTTATATTGGTACCTTAGTGGATTTTCCCCCTTTCCTTTGTGTACACAGGTGAGTGATCATTGCTGTATGAATAATGTAACTATGACATTCATTGGAAAGAAAGCAAACTGGACAGACCGTTACAGAATATTGTTGTTTTATTTACCAGAGAGTCAATTTGGTGTAGAAGTGAAGGCATCAGCCTAGAAATTGGGAGATTATGGGTTCTACTCCCACCTTAAACCAAAAGCCATCTTGGTGAGCTTGGATCAGTCATTCTAGGTAAATTTTTCAGTCTAAACTAATTGCCATCTTAGGAAACAGCGGAAAACCCTGAGATAGTTATATTCTGCACACATTTTAAACTAGAAGATATTAACAACCATTACACTAAAATATATTAACAACCATTATACTAAAATATACTAAACAGAAAATTGCATACAAAACATTACTGCAGATTTTTTTTAAATTGATGTTTTTGCAATCTCTATTTCTGAAAACTAACAGTCTTCCATCTTTTTTAATACATATGTAGATATATAAACATATTCTAATACAAAATTGGACAGATGGCCTACTTACCTGATTGTTTGTTACCATAAAGCCGATACTATAGATTACTACTACTTAATTTATTAATCATTTATTTTATTTTCTCTTTTAAAAAGCCTGGAATGGTACAAAATAATAACATTACAACTTTATAATAAACACTTAAAAGCATGCAATAAAAAAAACTTTAAAACACATTACAGTTTCCTGTGGACAATTCCATAGGAATTGGCAGGTACAAATTACCAATTTATTCAACTGCATTATGTGCAAATAATAAAAGAAGTATATATAAATATTTGTCCATGTATATTTTCTTCCATTGTACACTCCACTTAGGTATTATTCTTCTGCACATTTATCAAGTTTTTTTTCCCATTAAATCCTGAACCTTTGAACATTGCTAACACACTTGAATAACATCTTACCCTGATGTACACACATTGTGGTTATTTTTCTAAAAATACATATTTGCATGCATATGAAAATCAAGTTTATTTGGGATACCTCAAACTGATTTATTTATATAATAAATGGGAACCATGGGAACAAGTTTCTCAGTTTCCCTCCAGAGTTTGGCAACAGATACTCTCTAGTTCTTATTAGCTCTTTTAATTAAAGTTGTTGGTTCAAGGTGGCATATAAAGCCCATGTTCTTTACTGAGCATCCATCCATCCATCCATCCATCCATCCATCCATCCATCCATCCATTTATTTATTTATTTATTTATTTATTTATTTATTTGTAGCGTATACAAGGCCAGCGAGTCTGCAATCTTTACACACAGTAGAAGTTCTAGCAGCCGTTAATCCCTAGTCCTTTCTTGCACTGGTGCTCCAGAGGTGGGCAAACTAGCTCCTCACCAACTGGCCAGCAGCACTCTAGAGAAGTCGGTTCATCCGAGCTTTCCTCTGCCAGTCTTCCACTGATCATATCCGAACAGATCAGCAGATCCAGCGTCAGCTCCTGCTCCCTGTGCAGAATCCAGCTAGCATTTCCCACCACCAAGATAGTGGTACCTGTTTATCTACTTGCAGATGGTATGCTCTCGAACTACTAGGTGGATAGGAGCTAGGGATGAGTGATGAGAGCTCACTCCATCCTGTGGTGCTGGGCTCAAACTGGTGGAGTGCTGATCATTTCTGGCCAACAGATCCAGCATCATTAAGCCTCTGCACCATTGCCTGAAATAAAGGCAAAGATGCCTTAACCCTGTTCAAGAATTCTACTTATGAGAGATTTTGAATAATCTCCTCTTCCTGAGCACAGGCTTTAATATTTGCTCTTTAGACTTGTCTCTGTAAGAAAAGAAGTGCAATCCTAAGTGTCTTCTGAAAATGGCCTTAGACATACTCCTTTGAATTAGGAGTATCTGCTTTATGGTAACATACAATACAAGGTGGACCCACCTTTCTAGCCATGTACTCTCTTCCATGTCTCTTGGTAACAACCATGCTGCTTACTGGTCAATTTCATGTCTGCCCCAAATAAGCAATTTCAGGACACTCTCAGAGTGGCAAATTGTGGCAGCCACCCCACTGCTCTCCTCTGGAGCTATAGGTCTTCAATCAAATGAAGAGCCTGCTC